GCAGTAAGTTTCTTTTATATAATCTGTCAAGTTACGATTGTCACTTTGATACCACATAGCTGATTGTTTTAAAAGAGTACAATACTCAGAGCCGACATATGTTACTAATTAAACTAAACTATTGTTTGGTTCAAGGGGCTCTGGTGGCACAATACTTAATCATTTGGTTTCTAATCAAAAGAACCCACCAGCTGTCTATGGGAGAAAATGGCAGCCTGATTTTAAAGGGCACACAACCACATTGTTTGGTTCAAATAAGATGTCAGGGATCATTTTGGTTTGAGGTTTAAGGTTAAAGATTATCTCAGGGCAATACTTTTTTTGGAGGTTCATCCAGCCTCACTGGCTCTAGAAAATCTGTATTCCATTGAGAATTTAAAATTCTGTGCTATATATTCCCCCCTTTTGATCAGGCGTTTTCTTTATAAGTATTATAAACACAAGGTAAAATGTTGGTAATTGTTATTGCAAAATTCCAACTTGCTCTTTTTTCTATGCTAACAAGAAAAAAATAACTTTATCAAGTGACCTTGAAAATACTCATCTATTAGTGTTCAGAAAACATCTTTTAATCTCCCCAACCTAAATTTTTCTACTGAGAGCTGAAAACTTACAATAATAAATTATGTATCATTAAACTTTTAATTTCTTACTATAAATTGCTTTACTCAGAAAAAGTATCTCCAAACCAGAAAAAAAAAAAAAGTTAACTCCAGCCTCAGTCTGTCTCTTAACCACTTTTAGTTAAGAGACAAACTTGAATAGTGGTTGTTTGCAGATTTCTTTCTTTAATCCAGGTAACCAACGTAGTGTCTTCCAGTGTTTTCAGAATGGAACGCACAAGAAGGCATAGAGTGAAAATTCCAGAATAAGACCTGAATTCTATTGTGGGGATGCATTGCTATTTAAAATGACAGATTGTATTTAATAGTAAGTGTACTACAGATTCACATAATTGTACAGCAAGAGGTAACCTTTGAGATATTTTAGCCTCGCACAGTGCTTGGCATGAAACAGACACTCAGGAAATATTTGTTGAATAATAAATTAAACTAATCTAGAGGTATCCAACTGTTCTTGCTCAAAAGACAGACATACTTTAGGGGACCTTTGCAGTAGGAGTAAGGGGTGGGTACCAGCCCCATCCACACTAGCAGTTGATACTTTGGCCATACTGGGGAGAAGTCTGAAAGTCCCTGGTTTATCCCAATGCTGTGATTTTACAGAATAGAAAAGTATCATTGGAGCCAGGGTCTATGATGTAGTTGAACAGCTATGGAGCTCTTCCACTCTCATGAATTTGCAACATTTTCTAGAGCCAGTGTCAGAAGACTTCCTGATTGTAGGTGTTGTTAGGTGTTATCCAATTGGTTCTGACTCATGGTGGCCTTATGCATAACAGAGCAAAACATTGCCTGGTCCTATTCCAACCTCACAATCATTGTTAGGCCATTGCTGCTGCCACTGTGTCATTCCATCTCATTGAGGTCTTCCTCTATTTCACTGACCCTCTACTTCACCAAGCATGATGTCCTTCTCCAGGGATTGGTGCCTCCTGATAACATGTCTGAAGTATGAGAGACAATGTCTCACCATCCTGGCTTCTAAGGAGCATTCTGGCATACTTCTTCCAACACAGATTTGTTTGTTCTTCTGGAAGTCCATGGTACTCTTAATATTCTTCTCCAACACCATCAATTCTTCTAAGATCTTCCTTAATCACTGTCTAACTTTCACATGCATATGAGACTATTGAAAAAATCATGCCTTGAGTCAGGTGCACCTTAGTTCTCAAACTGACATCTTTGCTCTTGAACACTTTAAAGAAGTCTTGTGCAGCAGATTTGCCTAATGCAACAAGTCATTTGATTTCTTGACTGCTGCTTCCATGACTGTTGATGGTGGATCCAAGCAAAGCAAAGCCTTTGACAACTTCAATTGTTTCTCCATTTATATAGATATCGATTATTGGTGCAGTGGTAAGAATTTTTGTTTTCTTTACATTGAGGTTTAAGCCATACTGAAGGTTGTGGGCTTTGGCCTTAATCATTAAATACTTTAAGTCTCTTTCCTTTCAGCAAGCAAGGTTTTATCATCTGCATATCACAGGTTGCCAATGAGTAGTCTTCCTCTAGTCCTGAAGCTACATTCTTCTTCATATAATTCAGTTTCTCAAATTATTGCTCAGCGTACATATTGAGTAAATATGGTGAAAAAATACAACCTGGCACACACCTTTCCTGATTTTAAGCCATTCAGTGTCCCCTTGTTCTGTTCAAATGACTGCCTCTTGATCTGTGTACAGATTCGTCCTGAGTACAATTAAGTGTTCCAGAATACTCATTCTCTTGTCCATAGCTTGTCATGATCCTCACAGTGAATGCTTTTTTACACAGTCAATAAATTGCAAGTAAACATCTTTCGGTATTCTCTGCTTCCAGCCAAAATCTATGTTACATCAGCAATGATATCCCTCATTCCATGTCCTCATGAGTCCAGCTTGAAGTTCTGGCAATGGACTGTGGCAGCTATTTTTTTAATTACCTTTAGCAAAATTTTACTTGCATGAGATATTATTAATATTGTCTGATGATAGCCACATTCCATTGGTTCACTTATCTTTGGGATGGGCACAAATGTGGATCTCTTCCAATCAGCTGACCAGGTAGATATCTTCTTGATACATTAATATAAATTTCAGTTGAACTTTCCAACCCAGAAGTGGAGTAGAAAGTTACAATTACTTCAGAGTCAAGTTAAAACTAGTTGTCTGTCTATGCCATGACATCAGTTACCACCTTCAGTCACCTCTTAGTTTTGCTCCCAAGTATCCATCCTTTCTTGTGCTTGTCTTAAACACTAAACTTCTCTTTATCTGGTCTTTGAATGCAGATGGTTCTTAGAGCTGCTGGAATGACCAATTCTGCTTTTTTGGAGATCAGTAGGGCATAAGCATTCTAACACCATTGCTAGTGTTAGACCTTCTGAGGTCACCCCTGGAGCAGACCTGAATTATAGCAGCTACAGAGGTAGGACACCAATGTGGTGCCACTCAAACTGGCCAACATCTCCTTCAAGTAGTAGACACTGAGCATGAGCCGAGTCTGAGACATAGTAAGAAGCATAAGATTCAGTTTCTACCCTTAAGGAATTTAAGAATGTATTGGTGTTGGTCCCCTGGAGTTTATTGTGCTTAATAGTTTGCAAGATATGCCAATTCCATTGTTTCATTTGAACATCACAACCATCCCATGTGCAGATGAGAATATGGAACTAGAGACATAAAATGAGTTGGCCAGGAACTCAAGGCTAATGTGAACAGAACTGGGCCCCAAAGCCTGCGTTCTGATTCCATACCTCTCACTGGGAATTTGCTTTATTCTGCAAGGTATTTCCACTTGCACTGTCCACTCCTTTGTATGCTCCTAGAGGCAGGGCACAGTGCCTATCTCTCATCCCTCTTAGCAGTGTGCCTTGCATCCAGCCAGCCGTGTTACCTGCACTGTTGGACAGTCACCGAAAGTTTCTTTCTCTTACTAAGTCTCAGATTAGACGACCTGTATAAGTCTTTTCATTTGGTGAGTCCATATACTTGGTCCAGAAAAATCATCACCAAACCAAACCTGTTTACTAGCCCATTATTGTTGTTGTTGTTAAGTGCCGTCGAGTCGGTTCTGACCCATAGCGACCCTGTATAGGGTTTTCGAAGCTGTAAATCTTTACAGGAGCAGACAGCCTCATCTTTCTCCTAGGGAACCACTGGTAGTATCGAACTGCTGACCTAGAGGTTAGCAGCCTGATTCATAACCATTATGGTACCAGAGCTCCTAAATATGAAATATTTAGGGCTAATGGGCTAATAAATAAATAAACCTGTTTATTAGCCCACTAGCCCTAAATATGTCATTTGCCTCTTAAGCTCACAACATTGTGGCATACATAAGGGAGTGTCATGGATTGAATTGTGTTCCCCCAAAATATGAGTCAACTTAACTGGGTCATGATTCTCAGTGGTTTGGCGGTTATGTGATGGTTCCCCAAGGTGTCATCTGATGTGATAAACCAATAAAAGGATTAAGGATGCTCCAATACTCTTAATCTATCACAACTCTGATCCGATGTCAGGGAGTTTCCCAGGGATGTGGCCTGCAACATTCTTTTAGCTTACAAAGATAAAAGGAGAGAGGACGGAGTAAAATCTAGAAATGACAAACAGAGAAAACCTTCTCTTAAAGCCAGCAGTCCAAATTTGGACTTCGGGCCTCCTGAACTGTGAGACAATAAATTTCTGCTTGTTAAAAGCATCCACTTGCGGTATTTCTGTTCTAGCAAAACTAGATAACTAAGACCGGGAGTGTTGGCGACCCCTGCCCCAACTGTATTGTTAGAGAGACCAGACGAGTCTAGAGGAACATGAAAGAATTAACAACATGAGGCAAAATGTCCAAGACAGTAAATGTAGGTGTTAAATGAGTGACGTGAACAAATAATACTTGGATATTTAAAGAACTAGATTAAGTTGGTATTTATTTTGCATTAGCTCCTTGGGTTGAACAAGTGGTTTGAGCTTGTGCCACCCAAGCTCAAGGTTGGTAGTTTGAATCCACTCATCAGTACTGCAGAAGAAAGACCTGGTGATTTGCTTCCGTAAAGATTATAGTCAAGAAAATCCCATAGAGCAATTCTACTTACGGGGTTGCCATAAGTGAAAATCAACTCATTTGTTGTTGTTTTCTTGTAGACGGATAAAATAACTCTATAAAACATTAAAAAAAAAAAAGAGGCAAGGCACATATTTTCTTTGTTTTGTTGTTGTTCAATGTTAGGAATCCCAGGTTTTCAAGGATGTGAGGCAATTGATAGCTTTTGTTTGGCCTGCTTGGGTCCCGTGAAGCTCTCATGGTGTTTGCCTTTGGATTCCTACCTCGTCTCTGTGTCTGTTTCTGTCCTACACTTTCTGTTGAGCTGGAAGCTAGCCTCATGGTCTCTCTTCTTTCCAGGGTTAAAGCAAATGGAGGCCTGATGCGCACACGGCGAATAGAAGACCTGTGGGAGCTTCATTCGTCCTATGACATCGTGATCAATTGTTCAGGCCTTGGAAGCAGAGAGCTCACGGGAGACTCCAAGATGCTCCCTGTGAGGGGTCAAGTGCTCAAAGTTCAAGCTCCATGGGTGAAGCATTTTATCCGAGACGGGAATGGGCTCACTTATATTTACCCAGGTTCCTCCAACGTAACCCTGGGTGGAACCAGGCAAAAAGGAGACTGGAATCTTTCCCCTGACCCAGAAATTAGCAGAGATATCCTTTCGAGATGTTGTGCACTTGAGTCCTCCTTGCATGGAGCCTACAACATAAAAGAGGCTGTGGGCTTGAGGCCATCCAGGCCAGGTGTGCGGCTACAGAAAGAGCTCCTCGTCCAAGATGACAGGAGACTGCCCGTTGTCCACCACTATGGCCATGGGAGTGGGGGCTTCTCTGTGCACTGGGGCACAGCTCTGGAAGCCACCAAGTTGGTGAGTGAGTTGGCCCACACCCTGAGGACCTCTGACCCCAAGACAAAGCTGTAGGTGCTGTAGGTAATGTGACAGCAAATGGCCTCAGACTACTGAGCAGGGTACAATTTAAGCACTTGGAACAGGTTTGAATAGCTATTCTATTGCATAGTTTCTTTGTCTTCAAACTTAGATGTTTCTTTGTCTTTAAAATTTGCAATGATGCAACATGTATTAATAGATTTAGGAAATCTGGTACTAATGACAGGGTATAAAGCTCTATTTTTGTTAAAAATACTTGTTAAAAAGTAAAATTTCTTTTAGATCTGGTATTCCAAGATCTATGCTAATTTTTGTAGATGGTAGCAGTTGTAGGCATTTTGACTTTTTTTGTGTCTCATAAATTTATAGGAGGCAATATGGTAATATATGGAAAACACTTCAATCACCATCATTTGTAGAGCTTCCATGATCATCTTAGGTTTTAGCCAAGTGAACATTATTATTTCTAAATAAAATTACATAACCGTAATGGAACACAGGCTTATTATATTTAACTACAGACAAAGCATGATTACTGCTAACGCCAGTGATCACCTTTTCCTCCACTCATCTAGTCATGATGGTAGAAGAGGAGAGTCAAGTTGCCTAAGGATGTGGCGTAGGATCAGTAGCTGCCTGGAGTTAATTACTCAAAAGCCATCCATTCCATTACCGCAAATGATTGACAGGTGGCCTCGTGTATGGTTGACTTTGCCTAAGCATATTTGAAAACTGAACATCATGTGTAGCCAAAGATCTAATTTGCTAATTAAAATGGAAAATCATTCCCAAAGAAATCAAACCGAAGGATTCTCTGCAAGTTTTAAACAACACTGGGGAACAAAACTCAAAAAAAAAAAGACTGGGCTTACTGGTCAGAAATAGACTGAAGGAACCCCAGACTATGGCCCTCCATCATCTTCAAGTCTGGAAAGGAACTCACCCTCATGGTTCAATTCTCACCCACGCAGTCGACAAGAACACTAGGAAGGTATGCTCACCACGAAACAATCATTCAAAGTCAAAAGGGCATTTTCCTAAGGACAGAGTTGAGAAGGGATGGGAAGTGGGTGAAATGGAAATAGGAACCACAGAGAGGAAGCGGGCTAACTGTTGTTGCAGGGAGGGGATTACAATCATTAAGATGAAACAAAGTTGATGACTTGTTGAATGTAAAACTGATGATCGGCTCTGTAAACCTTCACTCAATTCACAATATAAAGTACAAAAAGAAATTGGGGAAGGGGATTGTCCCATAATCTAATGAGTTTGGAAATTATTGAGTTCAGTATATTTAACCTGGTTTCTTGACTCAGGTTTACTGAACCCTTTAATATGTTCATGTTGTGTTTCTGGCTCTTGAAAGTGGTAAAAACCACTTAAACCTGGTGTTGTCAAGTCAACTCCAAATCATGACCATCTCATATTTTTCAATGGCTGATTGCTTGGAAGTAGATCACCAGGCCTTTCTTCTGAGGTGCTTCTGGGTGGACTCAAACCACCAGGCTTTAGGTAGGTAGCAAGCACACATTAACCATCTGCACCACCCTGGGACTCACTAAATTACTAGCTGAGCTTAAGCAACCCTTGTAGTTAGTTGCTGTTGAGTGGATTTCAATTTGAGGTGACCCCGGGTGCTGCAGAGAAGAACTGTTCCCAACTTTCCTAGGTTGTGACCTTTCTGAAGCCTTCGCCAGGTCTGTTTTCCAAGGTGTTTTCGCCAACCTTTCAGGGAGTACTCAAGCTTTTAACAGCATTGTCTCAAATTAAGTTCTGTTCTATGAATTTCCACCAGGGGGTGCTGTTGTATAAAATGCTGATCATTTAGCACCTGGAAATTTAGAAAGGACTGGAAATGAAAAATAGATTCCTGGTGTGTGAGAGAGACAGAAAAAGAAAAGGATTCATTTGAGACTTTGAAGTTTAGATTCCTGGTGTGTGAGAGAGACAGAAAAAGAAAAAGATTCATTTGAGACTTTGAAGTTTATATGTCCCAAATGTAAATAGCATGTCCAAAGTAAGTGAGATTAAGTCTTGTCATCTTGCTTATAGGGAACATTCTGATGTACTTCTTCCAAGGCAGATTTGTTTGTTCTTCAGACAGCTCAGCAGTATGTTCAATATTCTTCATCAACACCATAATTAAAAGGCATTAATTCTCGTGCAGTCATCCTTACTCATTGCCCAGCTTTCACATGAAGGCTGTGACCTTTCACAATTGGCTTGGGTCCCTGGAGAAAGAAGGATGAGAGAAAAGGAATAAACCCCTCAATGAGAAGGATTGGCGCAGTGGCTAACAGTGGGCTCAGACGTAGCAGCGACTATGTGGACGGTGCAGGATCCGGTGGGCAGTGCTTCCTTCCGTTGTAAATGAGTCAGGACTGACTTGATGACATCTAACAATAACAACAACTACAAATGTTCTCAATTGATTAAAATATTTGAGAAATGTACCGGCTTAGATAGACTGAAAACACAGAGACACACACACAATCCATAATGTGTCCCGCTAAAACGGCATTTTAAAGGGAAGAAATAAAAATGTTTAAAAATAAAAATGTGAATGCTGCTCAGAAGTCCAGATGTTTTGGGTTTGCTAATTTGTCCCATATGCCCACAGTTGAGATTGGGTGGCATTTTCATTCCATGTAAGTAGGCTCATACTCCATAGTTTTTGCCTATTTACTGTGTTAGTTTAGTTTCACTTTGCATTTTTTATTTCTAAAATCCAACATTATGGAACTTGAGAAGGTGGCCATGGCTGCATGCTCTGGTTTAATTTTCTCTAATTGCTAGATTTTTGCTCCCAGTGTCTCTCAAAGGTTAAGTTACTGTGGTCAACTGTTGCCAATCCAGGTTACACATTACACTCACACAGGAAGTTTGAAAACATACTGATGTCAGTTTTGCACAACTGTTGTCTTTGAGTCGATCCTGACTTACAGTGACCACATGGAGCTTTGCGATGCTCTGGGATAAGCACTGGACTGCTGACCTTAGCAGTTAAAACCCAACTGCTGCTCTTTGGGAGAAAGATGAGGCTTTCTGTTCCCATAAAACTGTGCGGCCTCAGAAGCCCTGTACAGGGTCACTGTGAGTCAGAATTGACTACATGGCCATGGGTTTGGTTTCTTTGGTTTTGTGGTGACCTCATATATGCAGAGTAGGATTGTTCTATAGGATTGTGAAGAGTGTGACCTTTCACAAACAGAGCACTGGGCCTGGCTTCTGAGGTGTGACCAGTGGGTTCCAACCTCTGTTCTGTCTGCAACCAACTGAGTGCTTAACCACCACATTACCAGGGTACGCTGTAGGACACAGTAGAACTGCTCCATGGAGTTTCCTAGACAGTACATCTTTATGGGAGCAACAGTCTCATCTTCCTCTCACAAAGCAGCTGGTGGATTTGTACCGCTGACTTCGTGGTTAATAGTCCAGTGTATCACCAGCGCTCCTCCCGCCGTGCCCTAAACCAAAACCACTGAAGTGGAGTCAACTCCAACTCATTGTGACCCTAGACAGGATTTCCAAGTTTATAAATCTTTATGGGATCAGAAAGCCTCATCCTTCTTCCAAAGAGTGGCTGGTGGGTTTGATCTGCCAACCTTAAGATCAGCTAGCTGTCCAGTGCTTATCCCATAGCATCACCAGGGAAGACTTGCCCTGTTGTTATGATTCAGTGCCGTCATGTCTGTCCTGACTCAGGGAATCTGTACGTCAAATAAATTAGAATCTTTGAGAAGTAGGGTTCAGATATTGGTATTTGTCAAAAACTCCCTGTGGGGTTCTAGAACCATATCTGACACCATGCGTACCTCCCTCCTCTCCTTGTAGGGCTTCCCCATTATCATCACCAGTATCCTCACCTCCCTTCCTCTCCAGCATGAGGTATCTGGCTAAGAGGGATGTGTTCACATAGCACCTGTGTTCTTCGGCCCTTCTGGGCATGGTCACCTGTAGGTACTAGCTGTCTCCCAAAGTGTCTGTCAGCTGGCCACTGGGAATCACCTTTCTGGCTACATGTAGGCCAGCTGCCCAGAGATAGACTTTGTCTGGTGGATTCCCTATTTATACAAGTTGAAGTCTGCCTTGGTAATGTGTGCCACTTGCATAGAAGGAACATCATTTTTCTATTCCAGATAATTTTTCAGTTTTCCAGAAGATGAAGCGCAATTGAGTTCTTTCTTGAATCTCTGCTGTCAAGTCTCTGACCTTCATGGTTGAATGTGTATCTGCTGTGCCCAGACCCAGACCCAGACAAACATGGCAGTGTGGAAAGCACAGGTATTGCAGGCAACTCACTTGTTCAGCACACAGAGGTTATGCACAAAATTTTAGTTTGTTGTAGTGTTTTGTTTTGTTTTTAAATGTTTTATTGTGAATTATATGATAGTTTACATGGGATGTTGTAGTGTTTTTTAGGAATAAAAAGCTCACCAGCAAGACCGCAGCCCAGTGGGATGTGGTGGTAAACAAGATAGGCTATTCTTTAAAATTACGTATAGTCTTCATTTTATTGAACAGATGCAGTCAAACCAATTGTAGTAAGACAGAGTTTTCACAATCAATTACAAGCTTCCAGAGAGAAGAAAGAAAATGATGGTGGGGGTCATAGTTCTGGGAAACCTGTCCCAGGTCTCTCCTGGCTTGTCAAATATTTGAACTGAATGTAACACTTAAAGCAGATTTTTCCTTCATTCCTCTCATCTTTCTTTTTGAGGGTGTGAATGATGGAGACACATTTGAAACCTATTTCCTTTGGATATCATTCACTCAGGAAAAGCCAATTTAGATGTTTAAGTGGCCTCTTTTTTCTTGAAATATCTCAGCAGTTTGCAACCAAGCCCGAGGGCCTTATTATCCTGAGTGACTTTGCCTCCTATAAATCACTGCCCTAAGTAGCCAGAGAATTAGTTCACCAGATGCCTGAAAAAATAACCAATGTTTTTTTCAATTACTAGCAGAACAATTGACTTCCATCTGCTGGGTCACCTGGCAATCTGGCCTGCAATCATGATATCCATAATTCCTCT